TGTGGCGGCCATACTCTATCTCGCTTGCATGCGAGCTCGCCCCCCACCACACGCCGGCGAGCTAGTCTTTTGTCACTGCACGTCTAGTCCTTTGTCGCTGTGCGGCAGAAGAACAGTGGAGATTAGCCCGCCGTTAGAGCTGCATCGTTCTAGTGTTTCTCTACGAAATAAAGGAGTCCTTCTTAATCTCCGTGCCGAGTACTCAGTGGGCACATACCTAGATTCCTCCCGGGCTATCCCTTCTAAACTTCCACATGAGTACCAACATACGCCACAAAAAAATCGAAAATCGAATATACGTAACCCGCGGAAATTCAAAATTCGCGATACTTTTTGAACAGACTTCGTATTATATCGAAATGTGTGAAACATCTTTTTTATTTCATTTTCAAAAATTGTTAATATTATACCATCACACACACATACAACAGAAATGTCTAAACATACCACAAGGATGAATTTAAGATGTCAAGATATCTTTATGATTTTCCAATGAAAAATATTGAACATTTCAGTTGTGCGAAAGTATAATATGTACAATATATTATTAATTAAACATTTGTAGATATCTCATTACATAATAATGGAAAAGAGGGAATTAGCCTTTATCAAGTGAAATGCTGATGGAAAAATTATACTCAATGAAAATAATAACGTATAATACTCGTAATTACATGCGTTTCTGAAAGTTATATCTTCAGAAAGTTATATCTACAGTAGGCTCCCGTATAACGTGAGTTCTTACAACGCGAATTCATATAATGCATAACGTAATAACTGCGTTTAATGGGAGTCTACTGTATATACTAAATAGTACCTAATCAATTACAAGACTGATATTCATAATATACAGGATGGGACAGTCAAACCCTTTTTTCAGATAGTTTGAATAAACGTACTGAAAGCGGGGAGGGGTAGGGGTTTGACCTTTGCGTTTTAGGTATTGAGAAGTTTAATAGCCATGCAGCGTTGGACCGGAGAACAACGAGGTTTTGCCGTTAAAGCGTTTTACCTGAATGGTGAAAGCTACGTAGGCGCGCAACAAGCGTTCCGCCGACATTTTAATCTCTTGCCTCAAGTTCCTGTACCGGACAGAAAAACCATTAAGAATTGGATTGAAAATTTGGAAACAACAGGTCAGACAACGAAGAAAAGAGGAGGTACAGCAAGGACTATTCGCACTCCTGAGAATGTGGAAGCTGTGCGAGTTGCAATCGCAAGAAGCCCTCGAAGATCTGCTCGACGCCACATCATTGCTCTAGGACTTTCAAACCGAACAGTAAGAAGAATTTTGCATGATGACCTATACCTACATCCATAAAAAATTCAAATAATCCAAGCTTTGAATCCTCGTGATCATGCGGCTCGAGTTCATTTTTGCGAGGAAATGTTAAAGATGTCAGAAGATAACCCACAACTCATTCATAAGATGTGGATGAACGATGAAGCCCATTTTCATCTTAGTGGATACGTCAACAAGCAGAATTTTCACTATTGGGCTCCAGAAAACCCTAATGAACTTCATGAACGGCCACTCCATTCCGCTAAAGTAACCGTGTGGTATGCAGTCTTGGAAAATGATGGTCGTCATTTACCAGACATGATTTTCAAAAAGTGAACTTTTCATTGCCTAAAAATAAATTTCCACTCATGTACTTAACACTATGCCGTCCGCACGTCTAGTTGGGATTCTTTTGTTTGACACCGGTAGGACTGACTCAGATCATTTTGCTTGTCGCCAGCGGTTTTTCGAGGTTTTCGGGAAATCATGAATCGTCAGTTCTCATTAGTTTTCAATCCTGTCCCGCTATTTTCATGAAATTTCGAGGATATATGTAAATAAATGTAACATTTTTTTGTATTTTATATTTATTTATTTATTAATATTTTATTGAGTACTTAGTATTTCTCTTTTAGATGATATGAAGCCAAACAATCTCCGAGGTGTAACGCGACTCCACAAGACTTACACATTAAATTTGTTGTCCTTCTTTTTTTGTTTTTGGAACATACATGGCACTTTCTTCGTTTTCGTTTGTCGGTTTCGGAAATTTGTATTAGCTGGTGTTGCTTTAGTTGACCGGAAAGTCTGTCGATCGAATCATGATGTCTGTAACTTATTGTTACTTAAACAGTACACAATCAGAACACAAACGGCACCACAGTGCTGTCGCTGGCCTTTGCGCGATAGTTTTCGCGGGACACCAACGTGGTATCCCCGGACGGCATAGTGTTAAGATTTCTTACAATAAATTGAATTTTCTTTCTTTTTAACTTTTTTTCGAGCTATATGAAAAAAGAGGTTAACTGCCCCACCCTGTATTTGCAAGTGGTATACAATTTGAATTAAATTATAACATGATAAATTTTAACTGGGACAACTTAGAGTGTTGTGTAGATGGTAGAACAATGTTCATACCGTTACGTAACAATGACAGATTTGATAACGAATCAAATAAAAAAAAATAATCCTGTATTTAATGAGCCAAATGAAATAGCATTTGGTTGGGATGACTCAAGCACAAAATTATTTTTAAGTTTGTACAAGGATGGAAGTGAACAATTAAAAAATAGAAAAATTAAAACTAAAAAAATTATGTAGAACAACATATCATCAAAAATGTAAAAGCACGGATATAATACAACCACACTAGTGGAAAATAAGTATAAATCACTCAAGAGATCATACGAGAATATGATTTCGAATAATAAAAAAACAAGTAAAGTCCGTATGTCATGTACGAATAAAAGGTTAGTATTTACATAATATATTGGGTTGGCAAATAAGTTCGTTCGGTTTTTTAATCGGAGTAGGTTTACTCGTTCTGCTATCTCTTTTCCACAGCGCTATCGCACAACGCGCTTGCGCATCTGAAAAGCGACGTTCCACCTAACCTATTTGTAAACATACGCCGGTTAATACCAGAGTATTGTGCGTACTGCACGGTTGCAAATATGGAAGAAAAGAACGTTCATTTTCGCCATATTTTACTTTTTATTTTAAAAAAGGCAAACGAGCTACGGAAGCTCATAAGAAGATTTGTAATGTGTATGGGGACGATGCTTCAACAGAACGTGTGTGTCAAAAATGGTTTGCCAAATTCCGTTCTGGAGATTTTGATGTTAGTGACGCGTCCCGTTCTGGTCATCCAGCAGAGATTGATTCAGCTGTAATAAAGAATACCGTAGACAAAAATCCATCGCAAACAGTACGAGAGATTGCTACGACACTTAACATATCCCACACAAGTGTAGAAAACCATTTGCGTCAGTTGGGATACGTTTCTCGCCTCAATGTTTGGGTGCCGCACGAACTGACCGAGGCCAAATTTTAATCTATTTAATTGCGTGTGTAACGTTGTTCGTTCTTGTTTTATTGTGTAGTTTGTGTTCGCGTGAATTTCAATTATTTTGTAGGGACCTACCCATAGGACGTCTAATTTTTTCGATCTTCCTCGACAGACGGTTTTATCATAGAGTAGTACCTTGTCTTCTACTTGATAAGTTGGATTTTTGGTCCTTTTATCATAATACCATTTGTTTTTTATTTTTTCTTCTTTTAGGCTTTCTTTGGCTATTTGATTAGACGCGTGTAGCCGTTTTTTGAGTTTAGAAACATATCGTCGATCGAGTACGAGGGTTTAGGAAGTTGCGTCAGCGCGGAGGGTAGTTTAACTTGGTGGCCAAGTTCAAACGGAATGTATCCCATGTTTGTGTGCAACGTCGTATTGTACGTAAACATTGTGTAAAGGATCCAACTGTTCTAAACTGATTTCGAAACTGTTCAGAACTGATGTAGTACCGTAAATACTTAGCGAGAGTACGATGCGATCTTTCCAGGGCGTCTTTGCTCTGAGGATGATAGGCCGTTGTTTGAATCTTTTCAATTTGTAACAATTTGCAGACGTTTTTAAATATGTTATTAAATAAATTAGTCCCTTAATCCGTTAACACTTTGTCGTCCACACGTTTCATCAGGATTTTTTTGTTTGGCGCCAGCGGTTTTTCGAGGTTTTCGGGAAATCATAAATCGTCAGTCCTCATTAGTTTTCAATCCTGTCCCGCTATTTTCATGAAATTTCGAGGATATATGTAAATAAATGTAACATTTTTTTGTATTATATATTTATTTATTTATTTATATTTTATCTGGTACTTAGTATTTCTCTTTTAGATGTCTTCTACGAGGTCTGTTCAAAAAGTATCGCGAATTTTGTGTTTTTTCAAAAATTATTTATTTATTCATGAATATCTATTTTGTCTCCTTCAAAGTAATCCCCATCAGATATTATACACTTGTGTCAATGTATTTTCCAATCCTCGAAGCACTTCAAAAAATCATTTTTTGTGATCTTGTTCAGCTCCTCCTTGCCGTCTTTATCTCCTCAATCGTAGTGTAGCGTCGTCCTTTCATGTGCCTCTTCAGTTTCGGCAACTAGAAAAAGTCACAGGGGGCCAGGTGTGGGGAATACGGTGGCTACGGCATCATTAGTGTGTTGTTTTTGGCCAAAAATTCGCGCACAAGCAACTATGTGTAAGCAGGGGCGTTATCATGGTGCAAAAGCCAATTTTTGTTCTTCCACAAATCCGGGCGTTTCTGGCGGATTGCTTCGCGCAAATTGCGCATAACTTGCAGGTAATATTCCTTATTGACCGTTCTACCCTGTGGCAAGAACTCATGATACACTACGCCCCTGCAATCGAAGAAAACTGTAAGCAAAACCTTCACATTCGACCGAACTTGGCGCGCTTTTTTCGGTCTTGGCTCGTGTGGCAGCTTCCATTGGGATGATTGAGTTTTGGTTTCCACGTCATAACTATAAACCTCATGATTCGTCACCAGTTATGATCCTCTGGAGCAAATTTGGGTCGTCGTGGACAGAGTCTAACAGCTCCCCAGCAATGTTAATGCGATGCTGTTTTCGGTCGAAATTGAGCAATTTTGGTACGAATTTCGCGGCAACCCGTCTCATGCCCAAATCATTAGTAAAAATCGAATAGCCCGAGCCAATCGATATGTTTAGGTCCTCAGCAACTTCTCTAACGGTGATTCGACGATTGGCCAATACTATTTTCTTCACTTTATCAATGTTTTCGTCTGTTGTTGACGTGCTCGGGCGTCCGGCA